AATGGAACTGATATATTCCTTGTTTTGTCGAATATTTCAGATTTCTATCTTCAGTAATACCTACTTGAAAAATCTTAATTATATACTACAACAGGAGTAGTTAACGAATCTATATGAAATATCAAATTCTCTCTTTACAATTACAACACGGAATTCGTCAAATTATAATTGTTCCGATCAGATGATTACCAAGTATGCTTTGTTAGTACATGTGTATAAAAAGTGTAAACAGCAGAGTACGACAGCCGTATAATGTTTGGATTATATGAACTATAAAAAGAAGAAAGTTGATTGATCTCCTACGACAGGACCCACAAAAAAAGAGTTTCATAAAAAAATGTACTCCAACACTTTCAGACTAAGTCGTACCTTGTAAAGATACACTACTAAATACAAAAAATAAGTTTAAAAATTAAATTTAATAATTACTTAGAGGATAATCGAATAAAACGGAAATAATAAACCTGCCGCGTTCAAAGGACAGACAACGTATTGAGAAACATTTTATACGGTCATAATATTAATTAATTACTATTTAATTCACACGATTACGTCTTGTCGAAGTGGGTCATCGCGCGTGTATCTAACGATGCTGGCGGTTGAGACGGCCTTGTTGGTTGCCATCAAATTATACAGTTTAATGAATTAAACGGGCCGGTTTTTGGAACATTTAACACGAAAATGAGGATATACGTGAGATAGAATCTTTCGTGTATGTAGCCTACATTTTACAAAGTACAGAAAGGAATTATGGTTCTTGACAGCTGGTCGCTACGAATATCTTTCTACGGGCTTATAATATCACGGAAAATAGCAGGAGAGGAGCAGGTGGGGTTACGATAGCTTTCTGTCTGCACTGTGATCCTTCCTTCCTCGTTCTCTAGCTAACATCAACTTTACATAAAGTAAACTTTCCCGTATCCGATTTAATAGGCAGATATAAGTGTTCGAATAAAAAAATTTTCAGATAATAGAACAACCACTTTCCTGATACTAAATTGCATTTGACAGTTGGTTTGAATATTCATGGATCCCATATTTTTTAAGCTGCTAAATTACAGACACGTTGCAATATAAATGTCAGCGTAGAATTCGATCAAATAGACAACAGTATACACTGTATGTGAGCCACTACATATTTGCAACAGAAGAAAGCATCTGTTGTGGAGAAACACTCTATTCGTGGTAGAACGTACAGATAATAAAACGTATAGATAATAGAATGTTCGGATAATAGAACGTTCGGATAATAGAACGGTCGGATAATAGAACGTTCGGATAATAGAACGTTCGGATAGTAGAACGTTCGGGTAGTAGAACGTTCGGATAATAGAACGTTCGGATAATAAAACGTTCGGATAATAGAACGTTCGAATAGTAGAATGTTCGGATAATAAAACGTTCGGATAATAGAACGTTCGAATAGTAGAACGTTCGGATAGTAGAACGTTCGGATAGTAGAACGTTCGGATAGTAGAACGTTCGGATAGTAGAACGTTCGGATAACAAAATGTTCAGATAGTAAAACGTTCGAATGTGTGTTCGGATGTGGGAGGCTTTACTTTATTATGATTCTAATTTAACCCGTGAGAAGTATCAAAAATTCAAATATTGCATACTTCATAAATCTAAGGATATTTCAATGCAGCTTCGCTGCCCAAAAACTCATTGCTGTACGAACCATGAAGGTAATTCACGTCTTTTTGAGATTACAAAAAAAAAAAACACCAATTACTTATCGCCATATTTAGAATAATATGCGTGTTCAACGGAAAAAATAGAATAGCACTTCGAGTACACGAAAAAGAAAGTATTAAAAAAAAATGAATATACACAGATATTCGTATATTCTTTTGAATTCTACGACTTTCTTATACACACGAAGTATAATTCACGGCCCCGATCATTATCGTACACTGTGGATTATCATTAAATTGCACGAGCCGTAAGATTAAATATAGATTCTTATTATTGATATAACGTTTCAAGAGATCTCGACTTATCAACTGATCACCAGTCCCCATATGTGGATAAGATAACGTTCCAAATTCTCCACGCGAGAATGATTAAATCATGGTTCCAAGACAATTTACGATACCTTATCACGGAACTACCGTGTGGCGAGGTTATCTGACAATGACACTGCTGATCCGACAATTTGTCGATCATCTGTGATTTCGTGTTCAATATATACTTCCAATAACAAAAATGTCTCTGAAGACAGGTTAAAGTATGTATTTTGGATTCGTAATATTACAAAGAATATTAAGAGAAAAAAAGAAATTGGGTGATGAGATATATGTATACTAGACCTGTTGATTTACAAGAAACACTTAGTTAACCAGGTAACCTTAAGACACCCAGGTAGACGAGGTCACAGCTTTGTGAGAATTCCAGGTAGATGAGATACTCGAGAATCTCGGATCAGAAGCCTCCTTACAGGCATTTTCGACTAACAACATCGGTAACGAGCAAACTGAACTGCGAAAAATGATTGAAGAGTAAAGACAAACCCAAAATAGTTCAGAATAGAAAAATTTTATTCTGAAAATTAAACAGACGCGAGACCATTGCTTTCAAACTAGTCCCCATGAGACTACACAAGCATTCCAACGTCGGATCCAGTGATCATGACATTTCTGATGTTTTCTTTGTGATATCTGTTTTTAATATTCCCGTGAAGTTACTTTGAATTTGAAAAAAAAACGCTGAAAACACTTTGTGATATCTGTTTTTAATATTCCCGTGATATTACTTTGAATTTGAAAAAAAAACTGACTGAAAACGCGTTCCTTTGATGACTTTTTATACTCGAGGAAATAAAAGAAAAACAAAGTCACAACTAGTCATATCAGATGAATTCCAAGAGTGCTCCAACATTGTGATCGATTTTGAACGTAAAAACACTTACACTAGAATCGCTGCAGTTGCAATAGTAGGTACTGTCGCGATTTTTATTTTTCACGCGTGACACGGAACTCAAAACACGTCTGTCTTTACGCGAACCAACTTGTACAATGACTAAATCGATGGACAATATTTACCTTTCGCATGCAGGTAAAAGGGAGGGGGGGGGGTCAGGTCGCTACGCGGCGGAGGGACGTAACTGTTTTCATCGATGCCACGTTGATGGAAACAAAATTTTTCTCGAAACTTTATTGTCACACCTCTTTACACCGAATTGGGAATCGAAGCTGCGTCCTTTGTTTTTCAACGACAGCTTTGACTAATTAGAAATAAATTACTTGCAGTGTCAACGATTCTTCTTCTTCTAATTCATATAATTCAAACAAAGATGGCTGTAATACTCTACCGCTTGCAAGAATAAAAAATGTTACTTCAGTAATTACTTTAATAATTCAAATAAACCATGCTCTTTTGGTTATAAACTATCTACGAATATTAGAATTAGTACCTATTTTAATTATCTGTCCTTTTTTTGGCGGTGTTTAATCCCTTGCCTTGTAACATCGAGTCAAACACGTGGTGATGACTGCAATCTGGATTTAACGAACATGAATATCATTAATTTTCTTCAAGTCGAGGTGAAATACTGTTTTGTCGGTATTAACATTTAGATTAAATGTACACTTACAATAAGAATAATATTCCTTTTGTATCTGGGAAATTAATAACAGTAAAGTAATTCTGAAGAGTGCAGTCGTCAAACAAATCGTAAGGTAAGTGGTTAAATCAATGGTACATCGCAGACTAAAAGAATAAGAAAGGGATCATTACTGAATTGGAAATGCAATCAAATTACAAAATTTTCGACTGAGTTGAACGAAATTTTTAGAGGTTTTCGAAGAAACAATATAATTTGATTAATCATCTATAAAGCTACTGCTACTCCGTCCACCCACTTCGAATGATTACTACTAAATTAACTGAATTGTATTTCGTACTCGGCAAGCACAAGAAGATAATCCCCGTGCAAAAAATTAATTCCTTGATAAGCAGTAATTATAATCACAAGGACAAATATTGAACCGTTCGAATGTTTAAACAGATTAACTCAGTGTACAGATGTCTTTTCCTCGTTTCATTGAAGTGCAGTGAAGTAAAAAAGAATGGAGATTTGAAGTTACGTTCGTTTGATCAAATGTGAGGAAAAAATTTTCCGCACACTTACTACGGTAATTATCGAGACTAAGCCAACACGAACATTTTATTGAAAGAGGTTGCTATAAAAATAAAGATACATATGATACCGAGTGGTTCACGGCGATCATGTGTAAAATATTCCTTCCGGGAGCACATAATTTAAAATTGACAAAATTTTCCGTGGGGTTCAGTATCAGCTTGTTACTAGGCACTGCAGAGACTCGACAAAAAAATCGACAATTTGTTTAAATATGAACGTATCTCGTATCTTTCTGGATGTAAATTACAGAAATTTTTCCAACATAAGTAAATACGTAGAATTCGATCGAACAGAAGAAAGTATATATTGTATGTAAACACTATGTGTTTTTACAACAGCAGAAGACATCTGTTGCTGGCAGACATCGTGTTCGGATAACAGAATGTTCCAATATTAGGATAATGGGTGTCCGAATGTGGGAGGTTCCACTGTACTATATATATGTTTATTTAAATTATTATACGTCTGTGGACACTACTACAGATTCCTTTCGATTATCGTCTGACTTGTTCTACACGATTATTGTCCAAGCGTTATTGAGGGGCGTGGAACCTATCAAGCTTTTATTCCCAAGGTTCGGTCTTCGAGCAAAAAAGGAATTTACGGGACAATAATCGAGATTCGGTTTATAATAATCGAGAATTACAAGTTCGGGACAATAATCGAGAGGAGTCTGTAACTTGCAACTGTTTCTGAACTCAGCCAGACATGTTATAATCTGTCATTTATTTTTCTATATAACTTAGTGAATGAAGGTACTGAAATGACCGTGGCTACCCGCCTTTCCCCTACAAATGCATAAAATCCATAGTGAACGTGTCACAACAAATTTCGTTCATGCAATTAAGTTACTCACCGTATGATCTTCCGTCTGTTGTTAGGATGAATCCTCTTGGCCATTTCAGGATCGGCTTTCTTCAGTTTCGTGAAAAGCTCCTCGTTACTTTCCGTGGTATCCCGGTCTATTTCGAATTTCATTTTCTTCGGCGAGATACTATCGTTCTTGTTTTCCCTCGAAGACTCTGATATTTTGTTGCCACCATCGGGTGAATCTCTCGTGGGTGAATTGTTCGGTGTAGATTTGTCATCATGGTCCATAAGAATGTTCCATAAAAGAGCTTCGATGTAATAATTGGTCCCGCCGACAATGATCGGAAGCTTTTCCCTTGTCAGGAGATCGTCTATCTAAATCGGTTAAAGAAGACGAGGCATTCGAGGGAGGGGATCAAAGATCATTACTAAAGACGATGACTAATTGTTAGTTTCATAGTCTTATGGGGGAGAGGGGACCGAGAGAGAGAGAGAGAGATTTTGCTTCGTTCGAAGAAATCATTTCTACGAAGCCTTCCGAAGAGGAAATCGATCAAGAACATGCGACCTCGTGTCGATCACAGCGGTTCGCAAGCAAGACAAATCGAAACAACCATGCGAAACGCTGCCTACGATTCAAATATGACTATTTCGAAAACATGTTAATGTAAAAATTATGCAAGACAATGTTACCTATTTTACTTGCAGGCGATTCATTGTTATTCGACTTGGAAACTAACTCCGTCAGCATAAAACTTAATTTAATATTTTTCACTTCGGTTTCTAAGTTATTTCAACGTTTCCCCCGAAAACTATATGAAATGAAACGTCGGCGAATTCGTTCGATTGGCCGTTTTGTTAATTTTGGTAAAAAAAAATGTTTCTAGTACTAAGGGGAAATATTACAATGGGTAAGGTCATGTCTCGGAATTGCATCACGGTGAAATTGAGAGACAAGGGGTCTACGATGTCCAGCATGTGATGCGGCGCCATTTGTCTTTCTTCCTTCGTCACTTTCGCGGTAATGATGTCCAGGCTTTTGTACACCTGCAAATTAACAGAACATGCAATAAATATTCAATGTGTATGCAGACGTTATAATTGCGTTGATGTACCATTCAACAGTTAACCACGCATGTTAAATATATAAAATTCACTTGATTCCCGCTTTTTTGTTCACTCAAATAAAATTATATTTTTATCTTAATATTACAGCAATATGTTTCTTTGTTAGAGTGTATATTGCAAAGGTAACTTAAAATAGCCACAATTTGAACGATCTATCACACGGCTATAATAAAAAATATATATTGCTTATGTGTTAGTAATTAAATAAATTAATGCATAAATGCTTTTATTTCCAATCGTTTAATTACATAGTATAAAACCCACACTTTCTTCAATTCACTTCTCCTTTTTCTTCTCCACGAAAGCATATTATTTCTTTTGGTTTGAAATTTTCTGAACTATTGTTATGCAATGACCGGCAATACATTAAAAACAGAAGAATAAAATGTATTAACTATGAAATTACTATATGGTTTGAACGTGACATCTGTCACCCGATCAGTCTACAAGACATCAGTCGTCAGCGACTCGATGACCGACTAATGTAAATCATTGTAATTCTCCGAAGGCATTAATTCCTCATACTTTCGTTAAATTGTATTAACCGTCACATTTCGGAACGTCAAAATGATTGATCCGAGCTGTAAGGTCGTTTTCGTTTGCTGTGGACTGAAGTCGAAGATGTAGAAAGTCGAATCAGGAAACGTCAAACCTTGTATCGTGCTAGTTATCAACGTTCACCGTGCCCGTTTTCTGTCAAGTCGTTTCATTCTAACCCCTTGATAAGTGTCACTGCCAGTCGAGGAAGTAAACGAAAGGAAATCGCAGGAAGTGGTTAACGTGCTGATTTTTCTTATCGTTCGGACGAGAAGACATTTTCGGAACACTTATCGAGAATAATCTGTCTGTCGAAAACCAATTACGTATGTAAATACTCTATTCACATTAATTATAGATAGATAATTCACTCTTAAAAAGAAATAATAATCGCGGCATTCGATAACGCAGTATTTCACAAAAAAAAAAAATACAACATCAGGAAACACAAGAATATATATACTGCTGTGTAAAATACTGAATAATTGTCGATGGGTTAATTAATGCACCACGATTCTCATTTCTTCACAATTACGGAATACAAAGCAGGAAAATGCAAAACAGCAACGGAAGAAATTAACTGAAATTTGAATTGAATAATAAATTCATAATTGAGCTCTGTTAAAAAAGAAACACGTGAAATAGGTATATTATACAATATTGAATTATATTAAAAAAAGAAAAAGAATAGAAAGATAAATTCGAAAGAATTTTTAATTCGATAAAAACGATAAGTACATTAGACTTTTAAACTACATTAAACAAACTTCTATAGATGTTAATCTACGATATCAGTACCCGGTATCCGCAAACTTCCTCCAGCCACGTTCATCGCTTTCTCGTTAACGATGTTTGCCAGACACGTTAATTAATCCCGAGAAACGAGCGAAATAATATATTCACGAAATAGAAACGACTGCCAATAAACATGTTAAAAATATCATTCGGAAAGATATTTCGCAGTTGTTACACAAATGAAATTTAGTCATTATCGCTTATTAATTAGAAGGAAAAAAACGGATATCCTGCGTCTCAGATACCGTGGTTTACCCTCGTGAAATAAGGTGGTTCGCCAAGGTGGAATAATTAAAATACACGAAAATCATCGAACTGGTTTTAGTACAATCTCGCTGCGGAACTAGATCGCCTTGACCTCCTCACCAACACTTTCGGAGTTTTCCCGCGTTCCTCGAGCAGTGTCGAGAAATCAGCTCGGAATGAAAATTCCCCGCATTCCATGTCAGCCCCGCTCATTTATACAAACGGAATAGAGACGTAAATTAACCGAAGCGCGAGAAAGGGCACCTGTAAATGGATAGAAGAAACAGAAGAGGAGAGAGAACAATCAAACAAACAAGAAGATACATATACAGGGTATAAAAAAAATGTTGGAGGACCCGGAAATGGGAGACTCGTGAGGTAATTTAAAACAAGTTTTTCCTTAGCAAAAATGTTATCCGATGCTTTATTAACGAGATATTAACGAAAAACCCCGACCAATCAGAACGCGGGTCTGTCGACCGAGTTCCCGCGGTAATCGCGGCTGCGATTGGTAGCCAATCCTGTATACCGTTCCTTTCCACCTTTGTGTTAGCCAGTGGCATTAAATCAAGGACTTACATACGGCGCGTGTGGTCCTGAATATATTCTGAGCTCACGATGTCGTTTCGAGCGACGATATGGCAACTCCTCGAAATCGCTTAATTCTATAACCTAGTTTTGGAGGGGAAAAAAAAGAGACGACAGTTTCTAGAGTTCTTTGCTGACAAAGGTCTTTGACCGCGTATCTCGTCGAGGTTCTCTGCGGTTATTCGTGTAAAATTCTACCGACATTTTATTCTATTTCTGTCACGAACTCACGTACCTTTATTTGACAATTGTAGAGGATGAAGAATTTAACGCTAGAACTACCAAACCAGTCAAAATGACTGGTTAGTGCAGTCTCATAGCGAGTACCAAAACGTTACAACAGTGCATTTTCTTGGATTCTTCACAGGCGTTAGTGCAGTATAAGAATGAAGAAATTAGTCGATTTATAAATTTGAATATCTTCAAAAAGGTGATCATGTTTGTAGAACCGACAAAAATATACGTTTATCGTAGCTTTAGTGTGTTAACCCTTTAACGCCCAGGGTTGCGCCAGTGCAGCACTCACTTTAAAAGTGCATTACATTTTGTTACCGGTTAATATCTAACTTTTGTCAACAAGGATCCGTAGTTTTATCGATATAAAGTAGATCTCCAAATTTTCAGTTAAAAAATTCAGGTTTTCCCTCGAGAGATAAAGAATCAAAAGAAAAAAAAAAAGGGTCTATTCAATATCGATATTTTCGATTTCAAAATAACAAGATACAACACATATATCAGTCTCGTAATCATAAAATAACGATTTTAAAAGTCTGAATGTTAAAGAATTAAGTACGAAAACGAATGCAAGCAAATTATATTAATTCAAATGAAATATAGTTACAATCGAATTGTTTGATCTTACAATTAATTGACAAGGTATAAATATTTATAATGATACGTGTTCTAAAACGGTTAGCTTTTTAATGATGTATAAATATCAGAAAAGAGGCAATTCTGAACGTTTCCGCGAGGAATGTTCTGGTAATGGATGATCCGAATACCTGTACATTGCAAAAATTCTGTACTTTATATTACTGATATGTATTCCGTTAAGTTACGCTATCACTGAACGAACAAACAGGTTTCAACGTATACGGCTCGGGCTGGGGTAACTTGAATGACCACGTCTTCAACCTTCATTAACCTTTTTTATCAACGTCTCACTGGACAAGTCGCTGTAAAATCTCTTAAAGCACGAACAGGAAAGGAAGTACCGTCCAAAGATCACCGACACGAAAAATAATTTGAAGAGTGAGATTCGCATAAAATCAGACAAACTTACAAATTTCGATAAATATCCGAATCAACAATTACATCACCGTAAATATTTACACTGTATGAAACTTTAGTTTTTTAAAGAAATTAAATATATCTTTCGGGAACATGTAGAGTCACTAAGTTCAAAAAAAGGGGACATAAAAAATTAAGGAAATCAATGCTTAGTATATTATTATTACGATTTGCGTTAATAAACCTAATACCAATACCATAAAATTCATTTACGTTTATAAAATACGAATCTTGTGTTCAGAACATTTCCTTTGGGAAATACTTACGAACACCAATATTTTTTAAAGGAAACATAAGACAGACACCTAGCATTTTCATTTTTCAAGTATGCGCAACTGGCGATACAGAATAAGGGAAATGGTGGTAATCTTAGAAGTGAGAAATATTTTACTGAAGAGTGTGGCGAAGTGATTCAATAACGTAATGAAGCAAGTTTTTTGGGGTTACACTCGAGGATATTGTAAACATTTTCTTATTTAAAAAAAGAACAGATTGATGAGTACACAAGCGAATCTTCCCGCCAAAAGTTTATTTACACTTAAATGCTGCCACGGTCGAAAACGTAATGATAAAACAAACGGAAAAAGAAAGTGAAGGAGGGGCAAGTAGCACGTGGACCACGTATCGGCGGAGTTCAAGGAGAGAAATCAAGCAGCTACAGTAATCTTTTATTAACGAAATTAGCAGCTGTATTACCAGTCATTTCGAATCGATATTACTGTGTCGTAACGGGTCGCACGTTTCTTTTTTTTCTTCTTTTTTTTTTTACAATATGTTTACTCAACACATATACTTATCGCTTAATTATACCAATAAAACGCACATTATACTTCGTAATAATTGTTATTATCAATTTACAGATTTATTAAAGACTTATTTTCAATACTATACGATTACACCAAACTACTTATACCGCCTAATAATTTCTTCAGATTCCAAATACATTTCTTTAGCTATAAGATTCCCTTTTAAAATCTTTATTGAGGAAGTTAAAAAAATCTTACACTTAAAATGTTATTTTTATATAAATTAAAACACTGGTTTAAACTGTTATTGAAATTGTATTTTTCTTAAATGGCTGACACGATATCTCAAGTTCTAATTGACTGACTGACTTCACATTTGGTGTACACCTTCGATAGATCATTCGTTACGTCATGAATCAGTATTACCAAACAAATTTTTTTTCCTAATTCCTTTAACTATCGAAACACGAAAAAATCGAGAAAATTGATATTTCAAATTTCGAAGGACATTTTTTAAATGTTCGATATTTCTTGATAGTTCAATCATAACTGCACTCGTACTAATGAAGAATCATTGTGATTCTTTCGTTTCAAACAAGCAGAATGGTCGGAATCGTGTCAGCCAGTGGACCACTGTTTTTAAGGGACCGTAATTACATGATTTCCAATCTTGGTTATTTACACTTAAAAAAAAACGACGAGTATTCAAAAAGCATA